ACGAAAGAACCACACATCACGTTCGCGCCGAAATTTGATTTTGTTGTGCTGACCTCTCGCACATGCGCAGGCGTTATTCAGCCCTGTTCCTTACCTGTCTATATTTCCCTCTCCCCAGTCTTCCGCGTCACGCGGGGTTGTGTAAGCGAATGGGTGGAGAAGGAGAGAGACATGGTGACACCTCGATTTTACTTTCGTGAGCACGGAGCCATGGCAATTTGCCAGTTAAATAACTAATTCGGCTTTCTCGTAAACTGAACAACCATAGCGCGTAAGATTACTCACAGCTATATAATAAACATTTTGTTAACATCAATAGTTCGGTCTGTGTCGTGTATTATGGATTCTCGTGTTTTGCTTTCATTTTGTGATCTGTACCGTTATTAAATCTTGGACACTCCCTTAGAACTGTCTGCTCCAAAAAAGCTATAGCAACAAAGAAAACTCGGTCCATAACCTACGGTACAGACCTCGCGCGCGGTTAATAAGAGGTATGTAAAGGTTGAGGCCGTTCATTTGCGAAGATACAGCTATATTGCTATATAGAGCTATTATCGAACCATATTTTGATTATTGCTGTCCTGTGTGGGACGGTCTCAACAACGAGTTAGCCGACAAATAGAAAAAAAACTACAAAATCGCGCCATTAAGGCCCGGCCAAACAATCGCAACATTTCAACGTAACACATCGCAACGTTGTTGGGAGCAACATGTTACGTACGTTTGGCTACCCTGTTGCGACGTGTTGCGACATGTTGTGACATGTTGGGTGTTGTTGGCTCAAATTTGAAAATGGTCANGCAACATGTTACGTACGTTTGGCTACCCTGTTGCGACGTGTTGCGACATGTTGTGACATGTTGGGTGTTGTTGGCTCAAATTTGAAAATGGTCAAATTTTACATGCAACATTTGTGGATGATGCATGATGTTGTAGTCGTTTGGCCAGGTTCATGCAACAATTTTGCGCCCGGGCATACGCACTAGTGCGATTTTTAACACCCAACATGTCGCAACATGTCGCAACATGTCGCAACACGTCGCAACAAGGTGGCCAAACGCGTGTAACATGTTACGCCCAACAATGTGGCGATAGATTGCGTTCAAATGTTGCGATCGTTTGGTCGGAGCTTGCAAATGCTGAGCCAACAATGTTGGGATATGTTGTGTTGAAATGTTGCGATTGTTTGGCCGGGGCTTTAGGGTTATCACCAAGTGTGATTACTATTCTAGCGCTACCGCCCTCCGCGGTAAGCTAGGATGGGATAATCTCCATACCAGAAGGAAAAAGGAAAAATTGAAATTGATGTTTAAAACTTTGAATGATCAGCCTTTGGAGTACCTGAAAGGCCTATTTTTTTAAAAACCCTTCAGCACGGACTATGGACTTAGAAATAGTGAAAACAATCTGGCTCTGCCTAAGCCCTGAACCGATTTTTTCAAACGTAGTTTCTACTACAGTGGGACACATTTGTGGAATAGCCTTCCATCTAACGTTAGAGCTACTAGATCTTTTGTTAACTTTAGATATGAGATGAATCGCCACATGTCCTCCTTGTATTCCCCCACGGCAAACATGTAAATCAGTTTTTTTTT